TTAGAGACAGTTCGGGCAAGACATGAAATACATGAATCATTGGGTCTGTTTTTTATTGCTGCACTCCTGAACTAGTGCACACTGGTGCAATGAGTTGGAATGAGAGGTAATCTATTTGTTTCATTTTAACTTATTGCACTAGTTCAGTAGTGCAGTAATAAAGAACAGGCCTATAGAGAGGCGTACGCATGTCCGACCCAAACCTAACTCCGAGCGCTTCTTCGTAAGCACCCAATTTTGTGTGCGATGGCCCTTAAGGCCTGTGTCCACGATGCTAGAACTTGGCCAAGTCCTAGCATCGTGGACACAGGCCCTTAAAGCCTCCGCTACAATGATTCTCGGTTCTGTCTACAATGGCCGTAGTCGTAAGAATAATCGACTGCGATTGGTCAATTCAGTCAGACGCATAAGAATTGACCAATCGCAGTCGATTATTCTTACGACTACGACCATTGTAGACAGAACCGAGAATCATTGTAGCGGAGGCTTTAAGGCTAAGCTCCGATTGGCCCTCGTAAGCAATCCATTAGGAAAAATAGTATCGTGTACCGTTGGCTTTATTCTAATCTTCACACACGACTCGCAAAGCGAATTGAATTCGCGCCTATTTGACAGCCCTGATTCAGCTGGTTGCGCAATGTGCAAAGCCCAACGTATATACATGTACACATACATATATATGTACACATATAAAATATATATGTGTGTTTGATAGTTATCTGTGTGTGCGATATCCGTGTATTGCAATCGGCCGCGAATATCACCGACGGGATGGCGCGATGAATCGTTGAAACCGATAGTCGCGAGTGACCGAGCTCCGGTGGGCTCCTTGCAAAACAATTATTCGTATCGTCGTTGTCATCATCGGAAATTCGTTCACGGCGGACACGAGGTCGACGCGGGAAGACAGCGGGTAAGCTGGAACGAGGCGGCGATGTCGATGACGGCGAGCGAGGGCGATGTTACGCTACGCAGGCCAAACAAAATGGCCGCCCATTCGGCGGCACTCGGCGATGCCGTACTGTTGTTTACTCGTTAAGGAGACGGTCTCCGGCGCGAGGTGCGGCGCGTTACGCTTATCGATTCCTCGCCACCGCGCGCGTCATTAGTTCCGCTGCCCCGGCGACGCGCGGCAACGCGCGATACTCCGCTTCGCTCCGTCGGTGCTGTTGCCGTACGTCGACGCTTCATTTCCGTTTCGTTTCGCAGATGAACGAGCGTCGTTCCGGCGCCGTTGGCGATTATCGTCGTCGTGGACTTCGATGCAAAAACGTGACGCCCGGCCGTTGACGTGGCCACGCATCGTCCGGGGACGCACGCGACGTTGCGATACGCCACGGCCGGATACGCTACCGATCGCCAGTGAGGTCGGCTTTGTGAGACTCGCGGTCGAGCTCTTGAACAATTTCGCGCCCAGGTAACCTTAACTCCTCACCGAGCGCACGTCGGATTTAATTGGCGAACCTTTATCAATCAATCTGGCAAATTGTGCCTCGATCAGTTGGTTCCGAGTCGCAACAGATGTAACTACCACCGTTGGCGAGCTCCTCGTGGACTCGGAAGTCTGTATACAAGTGTACAATTTATTTCTCAGGCAAACAGAATGTCCAGCTCGTATGTCGTGGAACCACAGGACAGCAGTTCTCAGAAGAAGGACGATACGCTGATCATTGTTGTCAACGATGACGGGGTAATATCTGTCGATCAGGCGACTCTACAGAACTTGATAAGTGAGTAATCGTATGAGCAACCCGGCGAAGACACAACGGCACCTCGTTGGAAATCGGCGCGGATGAAGTGATGTTTAGGGCGCGTGGTAATTAAATCTTGCTGTTTCAGTGAATCAGTCAAGCACTAATGTTAGCGTGGTAAGATTAGGACAGGCTGACGCAGATAATGAAAACGGAGATATTACCTTGACAGTAGATCCACCGACATTTGCTCATTCTACAGCAAGCTCGGTAAGCGCCAATGCCAGCACCGACCCGGGTGGGTTGGTAGATCCTTTTATGGAGATGGATCCAGAACAGCTGGAAAGATTAGAAACAGCTCTGCAAAGTGAAGAGGCAAAGCAGATACTCGGAGAAAATGTCACTGCAATGCTTGGTATTTTATATATTATTTTTTTTTCCGTTAAAGTTTCTTTACCCCTTTACTCGAGTCCTGTGGTTCAGTGGTACTAGAGAATCCTTTTCGTTTACGTCAGCAACTTTTGCAAAATTTCACTCATGTAAATATGTGCAAAGTTTGAGACGTCGGGCAAACGCACCTTTTACTTCTCTAAATTTAACAGCTGATCCACACGATTTTTCCATGTGCCGATTCTTTTTAGATATGTTGTCGCTAGAAGAGCAGCAGAATACAATGCGACATAACATACGACTGGACCATTGTTACACATGCAGATTTTCGCCCAGCGATCCAGCGCCAAGAGACCCTTTGCCAGTCGTTGAAGATTTGGCTGACACCTGTATTAATATACAATATATGCATCAATCGTCCTCTCCTCGAACATCTCTTTTGTCACAGTCTATGAATGACATGGACAATGCTGGAGTCAAGAATAAAAATACTGCAAAAACCATAAATGTAATTATTATATATATACACGTGATATTGTTATTTGTCATCAATTGTGTGGTATTCAATTGCTGTCTCTGTAGATACTACAAAGCAAACAGATGAGTAGAACCATACGTAAGACTGCTACACCTGCAAATGTAACCGGATCTTCCAGAATCAATACAAACATCGTTGGGACTCCAAAATTGCCAGGGCATCATTCAATACCGAGATACATAACAACTGTTCAGCAGGGAACAGCTAAATGTATTGTCTCGTATAATTATTGGTTTTAATTATCCGAATTTTGTGTGTATTATTTATGTAGAATATCGTGGAAAAATTATCGTTGTAATCATATTTACAGTACAAGGTAAAAGTAACAAGGAAGAGGAAGATGATGAAGTCACAGAATCGTCTTCAGATTCTTCGGAACCAGAACCATCCGATAACGATAGCGATTCAGATTTTGGCCCCCGTAGTTCCAAGAGGAGCAATGCTAGGTCTCGAGGCGGGCGGAAAGGTCTCACTACAAGAGGCGGTAGTATGACGGCTGTTCGAAGGAGAGGAGGTCAAAACAAACAAATGGATATGGAACAAGTACGACTATTAGACATGGAGATGGCTGCTGCCGTTAATGCGATGAAAACTCCTGAAAAGGACGATAAATCGGGTACGTAATTGAGTTTACTGAAAAATATTTGATTTTGTAGCTGAAGGAAATAATGTGATTTTTTTGAAATTATTAGAGCGATTTAGTCCTACTAAGAGTAAGAGGCAAATTAAGACGCTCGGTGGGAAGAAGAAGGAGGAATCGCAATTTACCGAAGTCACTCCATCTGTGTCGCAAGAATCGTCACCGGCATATGAAAAACCACTGCAAACGACGAACCAAGTGAAAGCAAATTTGATTAATGCCAATATGATTAAGGATGACATGATACTGACCAAACTTGGGCAAGGGAGAAGTCAGCAGAGGGTTACTTTTATTCAGAAACAAATTCCAATGAAACCGAACGAGCTTAAAAATATTGGGCTTAAGAAGGCCATGTTAGTTTCTAAAGAAAAGATAACTCAATCCGGTGCAAAGTTTTTAGCGACCAAAGATGGGAAACTGCTACAAATACCATTGGCGTCCAAAACGATTCCAAACACGCAGGTTACTCCAGTAAAGGCAATATTGACGCAACAAGCCACGTCGCAACAATCTGTGACACAGCAACCAAGTGCAAACCAAGGTTCGCCGACGCAACAACAACCGAAAATCACTGTCTCGGTTGGCACGCCGATAAAAATTAAACCCAGCGATATAAAGAGGGAAAAGAGGAAATCTGACACCAGCATAGAATCACTTTTGAAAGTGGAGGAAAATTCCCCTGTAAAATCTCTAGAAATTAAGACTCTAGATAGTTAGTATTTCTTAACCTTGTTGCAATTTAGAGCGAATTAAAATGAGTCATATAACGTTAAGTTATACTTAAAAACACTTTTTATAGGTGCGAAGAAGCCTAAAAGGGATAACCGGAAGGCCCCAGGTTTTGTAGCCGATAGTCTAGGTCCTGCGCTTTTTTCAACACCAGATATAATTCGACGCGTAGGCTCGAATAGTGACGGCAAGGTCACAGATAATCCTACAACACCTACGACTGTATCCACACCATTTGCAACAGTAATATCTACATCTGTGTCGCCAACCAGCCCCGTTTCCACAACAGTTTCGTTGAATATTGGCATCTCTCCTAGTTCAAACATAGTGCAGAATCCTTCTACTAAAAAGACAATATTTAATGCTTCTGAACAGTCTGTCCAGCCAGAGCCGCAATTAAACCTTGATGGAAGTAACAGTATAACACCAGAAAGTGAAAATGAACAAAAATCAGAAAGCAAGCCGCCACTCACTGAAGAATTGCAACCATCGCTAGATACAGGTAAAATTAAATCTCGTGTAAAAGAGATCTTGTAATATTTGTTTTCAATGTTCAATTGTACTATTTTATTCAGATATGATCTTTAAAAAACTACATTAGTTTTTTAAAAATTATTATCTCTTTATATTTTGCGACATAGAATTTTTTCTGTACTATTGTTCTATATCCTTTTATAATTTATTTTTATAAAATAAATTATGCTATTTAAATAAACATATTTTAACACATTTTGTCCTTTTTTTCGTTGAATTCCTTTATTTGCTCATAATTTTATAATGAAAAACATTTTACGGTTTTTATATTATCAAAACATAATATACGACGGTATATGAAATTTATATCTCATATTGCTATCGTACCTATCCCTAATGCCACATATTATTTTATTGGAGAGAATTAGTTGTTCACGGTACTGCTCGATATTCTAGGGCCTGATTTTTTTCAACATCGTTTAACCTTAATCTTAACTCATTTTTGTTTTTTCATTTTCATCTTTCTAAAGAAACAGTTTAGAAAGGGACAAAGAATAAGTTAAATTAAATTTAAAGTTAAGTGATGTTGGAAAACTAGGCCCAAGTCATATTATTTCTAAGAGTAGGTTTCGTCATTAACTTGTACTCCCTAACGGTCAAAATTTATGCATATATCTATTTTTCACATATAATAAGTGATTTAAATTATAATTTATCCTCTGCCTTATTTTCTCTCATCTTAAAAATTACGTTAGAATAATCCATTATTAAAAGCATTTTATGCTTTGTTTAAGGTGGAATTGAAGGAGAAGAGCATTTATTAACCACATTAGAAATGGAAGCTAACAAACACGAGGAAGAGCTACTTGCTGAAGCTTTATTGTTACAAGAGGAACTTGGAGTTGATTTACCCGAGCATGTAAGTGTATTTATCTCTGTATAACCTATATGTTGATATATATAACATTTGTATATAAAATATATTTATATTATGTATCAATAGATATGCATAAAACTTTAAACAAGTCTCCAACTGGTAACTGGCAATTAAAGAGAATAATTATTTTACACTTTTTATTTCAGTATGTATATAGGTCCATTTATGAATATACTTTTCATTTTATTTAAAAAAAGTTACACAAAATTTTAAAATGTTAAATAAATATTAACTTGTCACGTATTCTCATTGTTAATAGTAATAGATAAAATAATTAATAATATTATAATATCATATATACACATTACAATATTATTATAATATTATAATGTATTATAATATTGTATTCTCGGAGCTGATTTTTCAGTAATTATCTATACAGAGCGAAGGGAGGTTTAGCGATAGAGAGATAGGCAAATTAAAGAAATGGATGGACAGTGAAAGAAAAAGGGGAGAGGAGAAATAATATAGCAATAAAAGGAATGAGTCGCGAGCCCCCGGCTAAGTTTTTACGTGTACTATAATCGCGTGGAAGAATTTTGTAATTTTATAAAGTCAATTTCGAATTGCTTACGAATTGAAAGAATTGAAATTTTCAAATACCAACTTCTTTTCCGTTAGGCTTCTGGACTAATAGCGAATTCGTTTGCTTGCACTAGCGCGCACTGTGAGTGCACACTAAGGCTCGTTTACAGTCAATTTTTGTGCTCAAGAATCGTCTTAAATATTTCTGGAAATATTTCGTAGCCAGTGAAATCATCTGTGTAGCATCCATACGGATCATTTTTCGACTAAATACTCTTCGAACATGTGTTTATAAGGCAAAGTCAAATATAAGAATCGACTATAAACGGGCCTTAATGTGCACTCGGTGCGCGCTAATGCAAGCAATCGAATTCGCTACGAGTGTTCTACATATGAAAATGTTTTGCTATGCGGTTCGCAACTCATCCTCGTATTATTTTGCGTACAAAAGCCAACGAAAAGATTGACAAGAGTAAAACCTATTCGCATCGCCCCTAAAAGATTTCTAATAATTGATTTAAGATCAAACGTTTACGAAGCTCCTGAATCGATTTTCTTCCAGAGAGTATTTAGAACAGATCAAAGGTTTAGATGGTGATTCTTATTAGTAAAGGATTTTTTAACAATCCAGTTAGCTTACTTACTCGAAGAGAAGATGCGAAGGGCCAGTTTAACCAAGATCTGATTAAAGTAATCGACAATTAACTCACCAGCGACACATTTCTGCCGACAAGAGATCTTTCTAATGCAAAATGTTTCAATTTGTCATATCGGCGACTCTGCCGGCAGTGTTGATCAATTAAATTAATTGGAGTTTGCTTGTTAAAGTGACTTGGGCCCAGTTTCACCGAACGTCGCTTAACTTTAATCTTCGTTTAATTCGCGTTTGTCTCTTTCTGAAGTAAAGCCTAATCTACAATGTGCCTTCTGCGTCTAGAAACATTCTAGTTTATATAAACAAATCAAAACGCTTAAAAAATTTGTCAACGATGCACGATTATACAATGTATAATATACAATTTATCGATACTTGCGCAAATTTTTTAACCATACTTATTGGCTACAAAATAGAATGTTTCTAGACGCAGAGGGCACATTGTAGATTAGTTGGAAAGAGACAAAGAACGAATTAAACCAAGCTTAAAGTTAAACAACGTTAGTGAAATCGGACCTTAGGCTGGTTTCACCGAACGTCGCTTAACTTCAATCGCAGTTTAATTCACGCTTGTCCCTTTCCAAACGGTTGGAAAGAGACGAGGAACAAATTGAACTAAGTTAAACAACGTTGGTGAAAACCGGGCCTTAATGGTCTGCTCCGTTTTACCTGATATTTTTGCACCGCGTTGGAGATAAGACACAAAAGTTGAGTGAAAAAGAACTTGCGTACGTCGTTGCAAGTAATATTAAAAATATGTAAACTTTTGCGGCGTTGAAAAACACATTGGTCCCGCGTATTCTTGGCGAGTCAACGGCCAATGAACTCGCTCGCAAAAGGATAACCTATAATGTAAACACTGTAGTTTGGTGCTTGAAAACACTCGACGATAGGCTGCGCTCGGCGGAGCAGAAGCTGCTTCCCAACTGTTTGTAAAAACTCGCGAATCTGATTGGCGTGTTCTCTCGATCTCGTGTGAATTCAAGAGCCGTGCGCCAATCGGATTCATGAATTTTGCAACAGTTGCGAAGCAGCTTTTTCTGCCGAACGTGTAGCCATTGTGAGTCTAAAGAGCGATTTTCTTAAGTGAAAACAAAAGCATTTGCAAACGACGATCGGATCGAGTCCAATGTGCGACCATTAACCTATAATATTATTACATTAACGACACCTTCGAACGAAAAACAAAGTCAGTATCGAGTGTACCTGTGAGCTTGTTTTCTGCTGCTACACTGGCGAACTGGTGCGATGAATTAGAGCAAGACAAGCATATATTTCTTTTCTCATTCTAGCTTGCTGCACTAGTTCACCAGTGCAGGAACAGAAAACGAACCTACGTACATTGTTTCTCTCATTCTAGCTTAACTGCGCTAGTTCACGAGTGCAGGAACAGAAAACAAGCCTCTTGTATACAAGTCACAGAGTCCCCGTACTGGTTTCAGAAGTTACCGAGAATGGTTGGGTTCGAAGTTACGCGAATATGCGTTCGTGTGCACATACAGCGAATCCTAGCACGCGACTGTCCCATAGTGTTGAACTCCGTAGGTTCGCAAGTCCGTTAGGGCCGTGGCGCACAAACGATAAGACGTAAACAGTAAACGAATTGACCAATCATAGTCGAGAATTATGGCAGTGGCTGTCATAATTCCTGGACTACGATTGGTCAATTTGTTTACTCTGCTTTGTTGCCGGAAGACCACGCGATGCAAGCCGAACGTATATCTCGGTGTAGAGACGAAGGGAGGATAAAATAGCAGGCGCTCGCCGACACCTGTCTTTTGTTTGTCGACTGATGGAGGGAAGAAGTAGCGACCACTTGTTGTCTTCATTTTTGAGGATAAGTACGAATGCAGCAGGGATCCCGCGGTCTACAGTATAAGTCGACGGTGCTATCCTATTTCTAATTGCAAGTTGGGGTAGGCTTAGAGACGGACAGAGAGAGAGAGAGAGAGAGAGAGAGAGAGAGAGAGAGAGAGAGAGAGAGAGAGAGAGAGAGAGAGAGAGAGAGAGAGAGGGAAAGCGAGAGAGAATGCTTGTTGCTCGGACTCAAGAAAATTCGAATCCAGCAATTGACGTCCATTGTGTGTGTGTGTGTGCAGGATATCGGTCAAGGATGTGGAAACGAAGTCTTTACTGTGTCGTCTTCGAGCACACTACAGACTTGCGCACGTGGTAATTGGTGACACTCCGTTAACAGTCGCGCCGCCAACTTGGAGTTACTTCTCCTCGATGATCTTAAGGCCAATGTCCACGATGCTAGAACTTGATCCAAGTTCTAGTTTCGAGAAACGTGTAGCCAATCAATTTGCAGCTTTTATGGAATAGCTGCACGTTGATTGGCTACGGATTTCTCAAAACTAGAACTTGGATCAAGTTCTAGCATCGTGGACATTGGGCTTTACTCACTTGCCACGCGAATCTCCTGATAAAATATGTAGAAAGCAGAGAGAGAGAGAGAGCGCCAATGTGAGCCACAAAATGAACAGAACTTGGTTCTCACAATGTATTATAGAAACTGAATGTATTATAGAAACAAAACTGAAGACATTTGTTGTCTACAGTTTCGCATTGGACCTGCGATTCCAAAATTTCTCTACGATGGCGTAAACGTTTCGATCCTTCTTCGGGCCTGCCGCAGCAAAACTCGGTTATTCCTGATAAAAACCTTATCTCGTCCACGTTTCATCCCAATGTTTTCTCGCCAATTGAGACGCTGCCCCCTTCTCCTCTGCAGCCAGTTCGTAATCTCTGTGCGCTCGAACGATAGGGCACATTTTATTTCGAACAACAACAGAGGCAATTGTAACCGGAGCTCCCTGGTACACGTGTAATAGACTGCACGTGTGATCCGTGTATTAAACTTGTCCGTGTTTTAACGCGCGTACACGAATTCGAGGGATCTCCGTTTACGTGAATCCGTGAACACGTGGGTGTGACACGTTTTCACGAATATCCGTGTATGCGACATATGTAAACCTGTATACCTCAATAGGGAAATATTTAGAGAATTATGTGACAAAATCGGGATAAAACTTGGAGCGCTGGAATTATGCGTGCACATAATTAGTTACAACTTGTAACTAAGGTACTAAAATAAAATAAAAATAGCCCGAAAAAGGGGAATTGCGTGATTTGTTGTCTACAGTTTCGTATTGGACCCGCGATCCTAACTGGGATTCCATAAAGATAAATTCTAAAATAATTCGCGCTGCGGTGCTCGTAATCGTAAGCCACGGGCTGTCTTGTTTCGTTTTACTTTTATTAATAACAAGATTTTGTAATTGGACTATCAGAACTAAAAATTAATTGATTTGAAAGTGGAAACTGTTCGATTGTATGCGACGTGTGAAAGAGATTTTGTTATTCTAAATGGGTTTCCGTTTGTGTTGTAGCCCGCACTAGGTGATCCCAGGCCACGAGTGATACCAGAACCGCTGGCATCGGGTAGCATACTTATGCCGACATTGATACCACCCGAACAAGACTCCAAGCCAGCAGAGGTAGTACCGACGGCACCGACAAATATGCCGAAAGAAACGAGCAAAAAGCCCACCAAGGACGATAAGGAAGTCATTCAAATCATTCGGGGCAATCGTGTGATTAAGTTACCACCTATTGAAGCACCCGCTACTAGAAGTAAACGATTGCAGGCAAAATCTGAGACGCCGCAGATAAATCCCGAACCGACGAAGAAAGTAGAAAAGCCCGCGTGAGTACATTATGTTAATAAATTAAGAATACAGATGCACAGGTGGTTTTACATGCAGTTTGCCATGCAAGGGTCGATCACTTTGAGATAAAAAATTTTTATGTGTTTATATTTTGATATTTTAGGTGTATTTTATTAGATTGTTAGATACTTTCTCATACTATTATATATTATATATGCATATAATGTGGTCAGAGCTTGTAATTAGTGTAATTATACGAGCTAGTACAAGTCGCTCTGTGATTACTTAAAAAAATAAAAGCAGTACTTTCAAGTATACTCAAACTGGACGAGTTTGAACTCTCTATTAGTACCACAAAAAAAACAAAGGTGTTTCTAACAATATGTAGATTAAATACATTATTAACAGTTTCATAGTGTTCTTTGAGTTTAAGTACTACTTGTAAAAGATTCTTTACAAGAGAAAGTACTTATTCTAGAACTCGAACTAAGTAGTCGGGATTCGATTACTTTGCAAGTGCAGCGTATCAAATATTATTTTCTCGAGCATTACTCGAAGCCCAAAAAAAAAGAAACTTATTGGATTTGACTCGGATTTTTGAGTGCATATTGAACTTGATCTCATCCTTGAATATTATACTGGATGTCTGTACAAATAAGTTTCTTTATATTGGTCTTATGTCCTCGACTAGAATTTAATAATTGTTTTAACATTGATGCAGTCAAGTATCAGTTCCGCCACAAGCACATAACAAGGACGAGTTCAAAATGGGACAAATAATGAATGCAGAAGAAGAGGAAGACGATGAGGATGATGAAGAGGACAATTCAGATTCAGAAGATGATCCCGACCGATTATGGTGTATCTGCAAACGGCCACATAACAATCGATTTATGATATGCTGTGATGTCTGCGAGGATTGGTTCCATGGAAAATGTGTGCATGTCAGCAAAGCCATGGGTAAGTATCTGTCATCTTAAGTTTATGCGACGAGAGAAAATATTTCTTTTATATTTGTGAAAAGGGTTTTAGGGTGTGAGAGTCGAACGCGGTTATTAGTGCGTGTCCATCTTTTATAATTGTTCCAATACAATTCTTGATTACAAGTGTCGGACGTTTCGGTTAAAGGTTTTAACTGTCTTCAACGATGAGTTCTTTAAAGTGTGCTCCATTATAGACTGAGAGAATTGTGTCTGATTCGTGTAAATGATTAGCCAATTCGGGTCAACCAGAGGATTGACTACTAGATTCCCGTTTAACAAACAAATTTTGATACTTTTATCTTCAACGAATCAAAGTTGTATAAAATTCAACTCTTACAGCCTAAATTTTTCTTATTTTTACTTTTACTTTCGAGAGTCCAGTTATTTAATTCCACTTATTTAATTTTACATTTTGTATTATATTTGTGTTATACAATATCTGTTTTATACAAATGTGTGATAGGTCAACAAATGGAGGAGAAGGGTATAGAGTGGGTTTGCCCAAATTGCCTAAGAAAGAAAGCTGAGGAAGAAAAGATGAAATCGAGCTCGCAATCGCTACTTGCAAAACAAAAAGCAAAGGTTGAATTTGTAGGTGATGCACCTGTGCCATTGAAAGAAACACCTCCGTCAAGTTCTTCCACCGACCACAGCGCTGCTCCAGCTTCTAGCACAATGCAATGTGTTGTCTGTAAGAAGGAAGCCAGAAATTCCAGCATTTATTGTTCAGACGCATGTATACTCGCTCATGCCCAAGAGACTTTAACCAAGGAAAAGCCCGTACCATCTGGATCAAATATAAAACCTACAAAATCATCTGTGACAGAAGCCGCGAAGGCAAAACCCGAGGCTAGAGTAGTAGTCTTCGATAGAAAAACCGGTAAAGTTCTTACCGGTAAATATATATTTGGTTGATATTAATTACATCGAAGTACAATCAAAGCTCTCTATTCTGAATAAGTTTGTTTTTTCGTAAACAAATGAAGTTGAAAATCCAATTCTTCGCCAGTAAATAAAACAACCAAGATTATGAAATGATTCGATGTAGCTGGCAAAAAATGTTTCTTTATTAAAAACACATTGTGTTGGTCCAATAATTTCTTAACCTTTGTTAAAAGGTGTTAGTTTAGAATAGAGAGAATCCATCGTATTTATGTACATGCACGCGGGTGAATTGTTATTATTATTATTATTATTTCAGGTGCAGATGCTCCTCTGAGATCTAGTTTGCGAACATGGTTGAAAGACAATCCAACTTATGAAATAGTCGAAGCTAATAATATTAATACACTTCAAATAGGCGGGAAGTTCGTCACACAAATCCAAACATCTGGAAAAACTGTATGTGTTCAATAAAATTAGTTCAAATAAATTAAATTATACAATTAGGAAGAAATTTGAGACTTTTAGATATGTAAGAAATGTTTAACGAAACAGTTTAAAACATTAACTTGTAAAGCAATTTTTAAGTTGGTATAAAATGATTTGCTTTCTTCTAGTCTATTCTGTTTATTCATATAAATGATACTGTTAAGAGGATCTTAAAATCATGTTTTTTTTACCGACACATTCGAATATAGTTTTTACGCTTGTAAATCTTTTCATTGGCTTTTATACGCAAAATTGTTTTATCATTTTTCTTTAGTAATTGAAAGTAATTAAATTAGTCATTCATCTTGGTGATCAATGCAATTGTTTAGCGATTGAATTTAATATCAGTTATTCATTTAATGAAGAAATAGCAGAGATGCATTTTATATATGGTCGTGCTAAGAGATTTTGTGTAAAAATTTTCATCTGTGTGTTTTTGTTTTTGCATGAGATAAATAGAAGCAAGCAAATCCTTTGCTTTACGATAAAATCACTTGTAAGGCCAACGGCACACGACACTATTTTTCCTACTGGATTGCTTACGAGAGACAATCAGGATTTAGCCTTAAGTCAACTGATCTAAAACTCTGCATCCTGATTGACTCTCGTAAGCAATCCAGTAGGAAAGATAGTATTGTATGCCATTGACTTAATATTGACAATTGATTTTTTTAAACCATATTTAGTAATTATGTTTCACTTGCTAAACTATTATCAGGTACATCTCAATCCTCGTTTTATAACAGCTTATTTTTACTTGTACAAAAGTATAGATTAAAAAAAGCAAAATATTTAGAATTTCTATTATGTAGAGATTTTCGTAAGATATATCTGTAGTTAACAGAAAGATATGCAAACTGTTTTCAGGCAAAAATTACGCAGATATCCCCGGTTAAAGTGCAAAGTATGCCCAAGATGATCTACACAAAGGTAGTAGGAACCAAACAAACCGTTTTAGCACCTAACAAAAAAATTACAATAATTCCCGCTATGCAACAGCAAGCGAGCGTATCACCGGGAAGTAAACCGGCACAACTGAAACAGACGATAATTTCCGCGTCAGGAAAGAGCCCTTTAATATTGAAGACATCGAAAACCGTGACGCAATTGAAAACCCAAGCGGCAGGCTCGCCGAAGCAAACGCCGATTAAAAAGCAAGAAGCGAAGTCGTCACCGTCCCAACTGAAGCAACAAACTAAATTAACGCCGGTAAGAAAGCCAGAGACGGAACCCATACGAGTGAATATCCGTAAGACGCTAACGGAGCTGCTGTCCAGTCGTATAAAGGAAACTGAAGATCTGAAAATAACCGACGACGAGATCGCCGAATTGGCCTTCAACATAGAACTCGAGATGTACAAGTATTTTAAGGACACTGGTTCTAAATACAAAGCAAAGTACAGAAGTCTCGTGTTCAACATAAAGGATACCAAGAATTTGACGTTGTTTAGAAAGATCGCGGATCGTTCATTAACGCCGGACGCGGTGGTACGATTAAGCCCGGATGAAATGGCCAGCCAGGAATTAGCCGAGTGGCGCGAGAAGGAGACCAAGCATCAGTTGGAAATGATAAAGAAGAACGAACTGGATTTGATGGCTCAGGCCAAGTCGATAGTTGTGAAGACTCACAAGGGTGAACAGATAATCGAGAACGATGGTGGAATTGATCACGTTGATCCTAAAACGCCGGTACAGGATATCGTTTCCGCGTTAAATAATGGTGACAACATAAGTTCCACGGTCGACGATCTGGAGAAGAATAAAAATATGGAGGATAGACTGAAGGAAGTGGAAACAAAAAAGTCCAAGGGTGCTGATGAACGAAGGAGGAAAGACAAAGAGAGAGGAAGAGAGCGCGATGGCGGGAAGTCCAAGAGTAAGGATAGACGGGAGAGAAGTCGCAGTCGACATCGTCGCAGTCGGGATCGAGATCGTAGCAAGACGCGGGACAAGAGCAAGGAGCGAAAGTCGATCAGGAATAAAGAGAGCAGGCGCGACAAGGACAGAGAAAAGGATAAAGATCGAGATCGGAACAAGGATCGGGACAAGACGAGCAGAAAGGAGAGCAGGGAGCGAGACCGGCTGAGAGACAAGGACAGGCACAAGAGTAACGACGATTGTTCTAGGAATCGTAGCGGGAGTAGAGAATCCAAGGATGTCGATAAACGAGAGGAGGAACGTAAGAAGGAGATGGAGAAGAAGAAGGAAATTTCGCCGCCGCCTGCAGAAAAGCCGATAGAGGACCGCCTCTGGCGGCATATAGAGGATGAGGCGACAACGAATACGATCGACGGTAACGATTCCGATATATCGGATAGAGAACCCAGTTCTACTGTCACGATCAAAACGCCCGATATAAATGAGGAACCCGAAAGAGACAAGGAACAGGTGATGGACAAGGAAACGTCGGCGAAGGGTAGCTGGCAGACAGTCTGGCGCGGTTTCGTCAACATGGTCGACGTTGCCAAGTTCTTCATAACCGCCCAGGAAGTGAGCGGCAACGCCAAGGATCTTATAGATGATCTACCGGACACGGTCGATGTTGTCGGTAGGATCAGCCACGAGACCGTTTGGGACTATATCTCGAAGATGAAGAGGAGTGGCTCGAAGGAGATTCTAGTCATCAGATTAACGGCTGCCAATGATGAAGAGAAGATTCCCTACATAACTCTGTACAGTTATCTGAACAGTAGAAGTCGTCTGGGTGTTGTTGGTAATGTTTCGAAAAACATCAAGGACTTTTACATAATGCCATTTTCGAGTCAGAGTACAATACCGCCGGTCCTGATGCCACTCACCGGGCCCGGCTTCGAGGAGAACCGGCCGCACTTGCTTCTAGGCATTATAGTTCGCAATAAGAAGAAACGATTGTCGGTTGTGCCACCGGTATCGTCGAAAACATCCAAGACATCTGACAGAAGTTATACTCCGCCGTTGATCGGCGCGCCGAAAGAGAAGTCTGTGTTGCCATCGCCATCCTCGTCTCCTATGTTATACAAAACGATAGCACTAGACTCGAAAGAGAAGACGGCGGCGGCAGCGACTCCGACGGCAACGGCAACGGTGACAGCAGCGACAGTGACGCAGATGACCCTGGAATCTCTGAACAAAGCGCACATAGGTATGTCGCGTGGTGTCATAGACACCGCGACGATATGTAAGATTGTGCCGGAATTGTCGTCAAAGATCGTTGACCTGACCTCGTCGCCCGGTCGACCTGATGTTATCACATTGGACGACGATGGAGATGAGCCGTATAGCCCTGGTGATGATGATGATGATGATGATGATGATGATATGAATCTGCAAAGTACCGACACAACCACTAGCATCTTATCTTCGTCCAACAAGAACCCCACGGAGTTACAGAGGAAGATGGACGAGCTGAACCGGCAGATTGAGGAGCAGAAGCAACAGATTGAGGAACAGCGGCAACAGATACAGAGCATTAGCTCGTCGTTTCTCGACGAAGCGACACCCACTTTGCCGGTGAGAACCTCCATTAGGCTCATTTTCCGCGGCCCCGATTGTCAACGTCATGTTGTCACAATATACTCTTTGTTCGTCTTGTGCAAATAAAATTTATCTCGAGTTCCACCACACGCACATCCCCAACCTCATCTCCCGAGCTGCTCTAGATTCTTGCTTCTAAGGAAACTTGGCTGAACGAGTCGAGTATCTTCTCGTTAAGGATTATTGAAACCACTCCGGTCGAACTTGGTGAGGAATTCGCGTTTAGTAGCAAGTGTGAAAAACTGAGGCAACACTTGTCTAGTGTATGTAGAATAAAGATAAATTGTACATAAATTACAACTCTTGCCGTATGTGTTTATATATACAGGGTGTTTCCTAAGTACATGTCGAAAATATTACGAGACATTCCTTGGCTTATTTTATGAAGAAAATTTTCATAGAGTAAGCTAAAAAATATTCCCTTACATTTTCCACACTTAGGAAACACAGTGTGCGCGCGCACGCACGATGTTTCAAATAGCACGGTCGAGCACTCGATATATTAGCTGAAGTAGGAATCTGTCAGTAGCCCCGTACCCTCTTTTGTGTATGATCTTATCGAATGACGTCTTTAAAGAGACTAGCAGTAGATTCGTTCGACAAGTTTTTGATTTAATTCACACGTTCTTTTCTCTGTTACTTGTCAAGTAACTTCGCATCAGCGAGATATGTAGATCTGCCAGAGATACGCTCGTGTATTTCCATTGACCGCGCGATTGTTTTCGAGCCAGATAACGTCTGCCCCGGTTGCTATCTCTCTTCATCTTCTATCTGAACTTTTGCATCTTTGTGATTATTTCAGGGTCTGGGTCTGGATCCGCCCACCGACGATTGCGATGAGGCTTACAGTCCATCGAACGCGCGGTCTTTCACACCGCCGCCGCCCATCTCCAAGTTTGCGCAGCCCATCCTCGATAAAGTCTCTGACATCACCATACCGCCGAATCTGCAGGAGATCTTGGCGAACGTAAAGCGGCAGGAGTCCACCAAAGTGGATCCTTATCTCCCGTCCAAGCCCAGCGCGTCGTTCTTACCCACGCTTTACCAGAACACGGAGAGATATTCGCCCACGCCCACGCCCTCGTCCAGGATCAGTCAGTCTGATCAGAAAGCACCGCCGGAAGCTGCCAAGGAAACCAAGAGCACGTTGAGTACTTTGAGCGATCTGGATCTAATCCGAAAGGCTGAGGAAGAGCTGGCCGCAGTCGCGTTAGCGGCGGCAGCGGCGTCTGCAGTGCCAGTGCCACCGCCATCCTCTTCCTCTTCATCCTCATCATTGTCGTCCGTGCACGTTTTAACACCACCTCCTATCGGCTCTGCAAACGACACGCCTACATCGCCATCGCCGCAGGTTCTATCGTCGCTCCCGCTTCCCGCGGAGTCTGCGTCGGAAGCAGACAAACTGAGCAAGTCGAGTCCTTCGGATCCCTTCAAAAAGAGTTTCACTCCCGAACAACCGAAACCTCCCGGTCTCGAGGACGAAGATTTCCCCACCTTTCCATCGACTCCACCAGCCATGGACGTCTCTAAGGAAACGAGCGCATCCCACTCGAAAGTTTCATCCAAGAGCGGCATTGTGCTGAACGTCAAGCGGAAGTTGAGCGACAACGGTAGCTCGCCGTCGCCTACCAGATTACCGAGGAGGATTACAAAGTCGCGCTGGGGTCAAAGACCGTCCGAGTAAGACGGTTCTCCGCGACTTGCGCGGTGTGGTGATCTTCCAGTACGTAAGGATGTACGAGGATGTTATGTACTTTCTGCGCGCTCTTGTCCAGTGAAATTGCGTCTTCTTTTCACAAGGAGGAAAGGATCATCCAAGGAAACGATAGACTATTAAGAAAGCTATGCTGTAACTTGTAGTAGAATTGTACAAGGCGTTATTTTGTTCTCCATTATCGAACTTTGCGCGTCAGTCGGGTGTGGTGTAAACGACTGAAAAGAAAAAAAATGTGTATATCAGAAATTGTCAACGCGAAAGAGAGCGAGAGGAAACGAATGCGATTGTAAACGCGAAACCGAGCCGTGTTTGATGGTAGCGAATTGTATGCATTTCCATGAACGCTTTTCGATATAAGGTCGAGAAAGACATTATATTCTCAGCAAGTATCGAATGTAACGGTGGTGTCTTTACTGTCGTACTCTGGTGTCGAGATTGTCCGCACTCTTAAGAGAGGAACGGCGGTATGAAGCTGACAGTGTATGTTTCACGGGAAACTCGTTCGCGAGGAAACCTGGACGATTGTACCCTTTTTCCGCAGACCTCTATTTCTGCTTAAGAACGTACATTTTTCACCACTTTGTGCTGACTGACGTTTCTTCTATGTCGAAGGAGGAAATGCGGGGACAGTTTTGAAGGATATCCAAATTAGCCTGTCATTCGTGTTGAAATGATGCACAGCGTATCTCAAAACCAGTTTCACAAACGTCGGTTGACTTCTCTATCTTTCTCTTATTACTATCTTAGAAGGGATAGAGATTTAATCTCCAGTTAACTGACGTTTGTGAAACTGACCTAAAGGAGTGAGAGAGGATAAAATTCGGAGACGAAAATTCTGTTACTTTTTTTCCGGTCTTTGTGTACCGAGTTATTTAACAATTAAATCAACCGGTTTTCCTTGCGCGCTCGTACCGAGCAGATCGAGCGGCGCGAGAGCCCTACATTTAACGCCCCTACTTTCAAAATTAATGACTGGCGCATTATTGTATTTAAAATCAAGACAATAAAAATGAAATAACGTGGGAAATATACAACATGACCATTGAGTGGCTAGTCCGTGCGTCTTGCGCCGGAGATAAATGTCACGCAGGAACATTCGTTTCAGAATTGTACTCCTTCAAAGGTGAATTGAGTTTTGGGACACCTTGTTTAAACGCGAGACTGATTCCGACGCTGACGTCTTTGTAGCTGCTCTGCAGTTCAATATATGACTGTTGTACTGGAAGACGTGTGCGTGTGCGTGTGTAAATCTTGACGCATGGCTCGATCGACGTACGTGCGTCGAGTCAGTGATGGATGTTGCTGGAGATACATGTACTATCCTTGTAAATACCAAAGCAAAAACGTATGGGTGTGTGTATGTGTGTGTGTGTGTGTGTGTGTGTGTGTGTGTGTGAACAAAACTTTACGGTTGCGATAGCACCCGCCCTCGTATATGACATACGCAGTTGCTGCGCTCGATGGATACATATATGTAAATACACATAAGCAAGTGCTGCAAAATGAGTTTCTGTAATATACTTTATTAACAATTTCACCTTGTCGTCAGAGGTAGTCGGTCACTTTCTTGCACAAGGTTGAATATACAGGGGTATCCTTCTCGAGATCCGAATACCGTTTCTCTTTATCTTCAAAAAGATGGAGCTGATTTTCGAGAAATTGCAACTGTGGAAAAATTATATACATATATATATATAACTTTTTAATGTATTTTCGAATATCTATTTAACTCAAAGTAGTAGCTATGTAAAATTAGCTACGAAACTTGAAGATATTTCGGACACGATGCCATTACGTTTAAATTATTTTTTTCGTCGATGAAAACCTTCGAGGAGACTTCGTTAATTCAACGACCGTTGCGATTGAATTATTCTTGATGCGATCGAAGCGTATCCCTCATTGAGAAGTGACAAAGTGTTCCCGATTGCAACATTTCCCATTGTAAGAGTGGCAGATTGAGCGATATTGCGATGTGAGAAGGCAGATGTGTTTTAGGATAAATTCTGTACTTTAAGCAAACAGCGATGTATATAATTCGCGCAATTTTGCTCTAACCAAAAAAAAACCACTAATAACACGCACCACGCGACATACACACACATATATGATATTCGATTGTAATTGTACACAAGGCGCAAAGCTAATATTGTATACGTGCGTACTTGCTGTATACACATTTTACATGCATATACAATATATATATTATATACACACAAATATATAATTATAATTATATGTAATTATATATACATATATATACATGCATACACGCGCGCGCGCGCGCGCGCGTACTTACAGCAACGTGGTACATTTTATCTTGTGTGCGCGTGTGCGTGTGTGTGTGTGTGATAGATAAAACGTACTAAGTAGCTGTAAGTTTATTCTCTTCCATAATATAATTAGTTACTAGGATCGCTAATATACATTCAAAGCATTTAATTTTTTTGTATATGTGATGAACACATCGTTAAAATGCGTATGATGTAACATATCGCGATGTTCATGCAATTAACTCGTTTGTTAGCAATTTTTAAGAACTATCCAGTATACACCAATAATTACATAACATGTAACTATAATGGCTGTATATCGATATTATAATTTCCCGCTCAACGCTATAAATGTAATGTAACACGTGTTGTACGCAACAGTTGTATTGTTAAGCGGGAAATTATGACGTTGATATTACGATGATTGTATATGTATGATACTGTTGATTGGTGTTTACTGGGTACTCATTTAATGGTAGGATAGATATTGATGTACGACATTTATATTTACATTGTAAAATTTCTGCGTTACTGTGTATCGTTTAAGGCTATTTACTTCCGAATCTTGATACGAAAGAGATTTAGGGAAATATCGTTGTGGTACGCTTTTGTTATTGGTATGACGATATTGAGATGTAAGTAAATTTCGCCGTCTTTTTCGTGTTTACGAGTTTTCTTCACTTCACGAGTTTTAAACGTAAAGGTGTGACGCCCTTTTATATCCTCGTATGCGTTCTTACCAGTTTCTTTTGCCCTCTTACCGAGTATAGAAGGTACGATGTGTATGCTGTGTACATATAGACCTACAAAAAGAAAGCAAATGTACGTGCGTCTCGAATTTATCTACGACACAGGGCCCGAGCAGAATGGCTGTCTTATACTCTTAAGACAGCCTTAAGACAATGTTTTATGTTTTAAGCCTTTGTTTTGAGGTAACGCACAATAACTGTTTTATGTCTTAAGAGTACAAGACAGCCATTCTGCTCAGGCCCTTATTGTGCGTCGCTTTAAGACAAAGACTTGTATTGTCTTAAAGAGCATGTATGTACAGCTATTCTGCTAAGGCCCACAATTTGAGTAGCTCGATTACCGAGAATGGTATTGCGCAAAATAGAACACGTTTGTTTCAGTACAACCTGCAAACCCTCCCCTTTTCTTATCTGATATAGAAGAGTGTGTAGAAATTGATAGTTTAATTTGTAGACCATCAGGCTATGACACCGGAGCTACCCTAGTTTTAACTTGGTGACCAACAAGCGCCACTACATGATGCAGCATATGTTATTATATTTACACGCATCGCTGTACATTTCTTGTACGCCCCGTCTACATTTAATGGATTATTTGATAAAGGAATTAGCCGTCTCACTATATTGTACACTTTTGTATCGCGATCTTCGGTTGATAGAGCACTTCTTCATTTCATGTTATGTATCTCGTCATTATTATAAATATTAATCTCAATCCTAAAGGGGATTATGTATATGCGACCGCTGATTTATCATTGTCTCTCCTCACGCTTGGGTAGTAGTATTCATTGTAGTTCCAATCATCCCAGTCAGCAAAATGTTAGCGGATTCATCAGAAACCCACACCAAAACCGTAGCCATCTGTGTCCGCATCAGGCTTTCGTTTTGGCAACAGAGTTGTCTGTAGAACATACGCTGTCAACAGATTGTCGGTAGACACCGAGTGGGTCCAGTTATGTGAACATATTTTTTTTTGTATTTCTGATGACATGCTGGCAACATGTCGAATATATCAGTTCCTGTATGCAATCTGCAGTCATTCTGTCTTCAGAATTTGTAGTAGGCATTTGACGAAATCTGTTTTAGCAGATTTAGCTATCTGGGATGCAAATTATAAGTATTCATGTTCATCACCAAATATATCCTAACATGCGCAGCCCAGATTTGACCATTCATAGCACATGGATCATTTTGATCTTCTCGCGAAAGCAGCCCGTGTAAAGCCCGATCAGACTACGGATTGGGATTAGATTGGGATTGGGATTAGATTGAAATTTAACCAATCACAGTAAAGCCCGTATCAGACTACGGATTGGGATTGGGATTAGATTGAAATTTAACCAATCACAGTAAAGTTTACTAATCTCAAGTTCAGTAAC